AAATTATATGTATGGTGTTTTGAAATGTCTTTTACTCACACTATTTATTATTTTTAACAATGGAATTCATTTCTTAAGATTTTTTTTAGATGCGTATCTGCAATATCTACAGATCAGATCTTCTACCTTACCATTCTTTCTTTGACCTAAGTCTGCTACAAAATATTTCAATATATTTGATCAGTTTCTTGTTTTGATCTGTTCTATAATGTTTACAAACTTTTTACCTTAAGGTCTTGTTTTGATCTGTGTTAGAAAGGACTAGACTTGATGTTTTTAGAGCCCTTGTTTTTTTGTGTTGGAAATAACTAGTTAAATAACATTACAAGGTCCTTGTTTTATTATGTAAAAACAACATAAATCATTTCTTAGAAATTATAAGTCCTGAAGTCTCTATTTTGATCTGTAATTGAGAAAGACCACAAATTGTATCTTACAATCACCATTCATATATTAATATGAAAATCCTACAGACCTGTCCTTTTTTTTTTGTATTTGCAATAACTAGATTGTTCAAGTCACAAGGCTTTGTTTGATCTTTATCTGGAAGGGTAACAAGAACTGAATCCTTTACGATTTAAAACTCTTGTTTCAATATTTGTCTCTGTGTGCTTGTGTATTAATACTTCACCATAGCTTGAACGTTATGTATTAAGACTATTAAAATCTAGTGTATTAAAAGTTTTTAATCAGCAGTTGCAGGAACTACAAACCTGGTATAAAACAGTCCTTGATGTTCAGTTCAGAACAGCAAAGAGTAAGTAGCTTGTACTATACAATCTTAACTTCATCCATTATAGAAGACTAGAGTCTATGTCATAATGGACCTTGGTTTCACTTGTATATTTTTAAGTTCATGGTCTGATTTGTATCTGCAAGGATTTTATCATTCATTTCTTAAGATCTTTGGTTTTGTCTGGAACTAGATCTTCAGATAAATGCACATTAGAAGATTACTCAAGTCAGATTCTATAAAAAGGGAATGCCTATGTCACAGAATTTCATATGAAGAATATAAGATGATTTCAAGTTACAAGATCTGATAGTAAGCACAAAAACTAAAATCAAGATTTCACACCATGATTCAACTGCAAACGCATAATTAACTCAAGCTAAAAACACACATGCAAAAAGAGATTTGGTATTAGAAAAAACACTACAGAACAACCTAAAGTTTGCTTATGTTACATGCACCTAAATTATGTAAAAAACATTTTCTTCTAATATATATATATTTATATATATATACCACATGCTTAACTACCTCATAGCAATGATAACCAATATTTAAAGATGATTAGTGGTGAGTGTATTATATACAATTTTTATGTAGATTAGGTAGTAAAAAAATAACTGCTAAATGGTGACATGCAATTTTACACTGCCATTGAAAATCTTTTTATTTTGAAAATGTATATAATATGAACTTATACAGAATATTTTGTACTGATATGAAATGCACTTTTTCACACTAAGTACTTAATAGTGTAAATGCTATTTTTTTTCAAGTGAATATTGTTTTCAGTTTTCTTAAATAGGAAAACCACAATGTTTTCGAAATATTGTCTTAGTACAAAAAGTTAGGAATAACAATCACTAAGACAGTAAAGGTTACTGTTTGGGGTTCTTAGTGAGAATTAAGATTTTTGGACGGTGTATTTTGCATTCACCGTTAGTATGACAAGGATAAAAATCCTTGAATAGGATGAAAATGCAGTGTCAATGTATATGTTAGAAAAGTTCTAGAATGATAAACCATGTTTTTAGAGAACATAAATGAATAAAGATGTATTAATCTAAAGTTTTTTAACTTAAGAAATGCTTAAGTTTAAGCAAACTTGTTTGAAAGAAAAGACATTCTAGCATGAATCCACTTATAGTTGAGAGTATTATTAAAATACTTTTACTATGAGTGATCAATCCAATTATTACTTATGCAAATTAAGTCTTGAAAAACTAGACTGACTGTTTATGAGTTTCACATTTTCTCAAATTCAGTATTTACCATTTACAGCCTTAAAAAAAATGCCACTTCATAAACCAAGTTATTCTTAAAATTAACATGAATAACCTAATAATTATCTAACACAAATATTAGTTAAGTTAAAAACACCAAAGCACCTAACCCCACCCCCACCCTGAAAGAAACAAGTTAGAGCCCGGGATAAAACCATGTAGTATAAAGCATTCAATTTTAATACATTAAAAAATAATAACCTCGCCTGAACTATTAAACAAAAAACATACTTTCCCAAATGTCTTAAAAAATACACATTATTTTTACTTTCTTAATGATAATTTCACTAATATAGAACTTCTACTCTAAATATTTCCCCTCATCATGCTAAATATGTACATTATACGATACAATCAAGATATTAGTTATACTTCTTAAGATGACATGAACCACTGGCTTCAAATTGGATTCTTTCTTTTTTAACTTAAGGTAAGGGGGGAACATAAGTTATTTTTGATTTTCTGTGTGGCACCATCATATTTCTGTTTATCATACTTTCATATTTGTATTTATTAGCCTATACAAATTTACAATTTTTGTTACAAAGTTTAAACAAGTGAACAACAGCAAGAGCATGGACAACAGCATTTCATTGTTGTTCAAAACATTAAGTATTAATGATTTTTAACTCTACTACCATTCACTTTGAAATTACCTATTCTTCAAACCATTTTCAATTAAGTTATTGTAAACAAAACAGTGCACGTCCAAAAAAAGGATAACTTAGCTAAATTTGATTTTCAAATACTTAGATGAAGGTGCTTCTTCCTTTCTACATTAAACTACTAGTGACTGATTATCTATCTTTAATAAATCTAATGCCGAGGAATTTCTCCCAAACAATGTGTGTGTATGTGTGAATATAGAATGATTGATGGAAAGAAAAATAAACAATTGACAGTAAGTATAGTTGTCTGAGAAGTACTTATCTTTGCTGTACGACATAAGTTTTGTCATTTTTGCAGCATACATATAACAGTTACTCCTCACAATTTTCTGTGTGTTTATGGCAAATACAGTTTTTGTTCAAGTACTTCCTTTACTGTTGAAAGCAAAGATAAAAAAAAAAATGCTATACTTTCCTAAACAAATGGATGTAATTATTAGGAAAAAACTGTTCAGTTGAGGCATTATAGGAAATACTTTCAGATGCTCCTTTGCCACTTAACGATTACTCTTGTTTGTTAAGCACAAAGCTACAAAAGAGCTATTTGTGCTCTGCCCACAGAAGGTAAATGAAACCAATTTTTAGTGTTATACACTCGTATATTTACCACTAAACAACCAATGGGCTTACGAGTCCTTTTGGAGGGCCACTGACTGCTGTATAGTGGTAGCATTTTTTAAAAGTAAAATTGTATTTTTAATGAAACAAACTTTATATTTAATGTAAAAACCTTATTGTAATGAAGTATGTGAAATATACTTCTAGCTTGATACTTATTACAAATACAGTGGCAAAATAAAGAAAGTTCATTTGTCTGAAACAGTTCGAAGTTGAAATTCGATGGAAACTTAATTATTGTATTGAGCTTTTCCAAGTTTGCTTTCCGTAACAATCTTTTTTGTTTATTATATATATATAAGGAACTCAAGCAGTTAGCAAGTTCGTATCATCTTATTAACAAATAAGTAGAAAAACAACTTATCTTTGGTACTTTAAAAAATAAATCTTGCCGTAAGCACACAACTTACACATGTATAAATTTGGAAATGATGCTAAAGTACATAGATTAACATGCTTTTAGGCATTATTTTGGCATAAATAAAATATGCAAAAATATTATGTTGAAGTAGATAAACAGTTGTTTTTTTTCAGATGTTGTTTTTACTTATAATTAATCAAACAAACTAGAAGCAATGCTCATACAGGTTCAAGTATTTAAGCCATTACATAACTGAAGATTAAATTTCTGATGTTAGTGTAAATTCTACATTGTGGAAAAATTCAAAACAACAAATAAACAATTTTCTGACAAAAAAAAAGGCTGATGTATGTCAACTTTTTCTGTAACTTTATTTCCAAAAATTCTTTGTTTTTTCATACGTTTGTAATGCTTTAATAATACTATTAAAAAGGCCCTGAAACTCACTAAATAAACTATGTTTTATAAATTTAGAAAAAAAAAAGATGTTTGTTTATTGTTTTCTATGAGAGTTCTTAATATATACACACATACACACTTCTGGGAAAATGTCCTTTAACTATCTCAAGCAATGAGTAGATGGTTCATGCCCAAAGTGCAAATCATTATCTTTTTTTGTTTTTAATAAACTCAGTATTCATCTCTCATGATACAGCTCAATCAACAATGTGCTTAACCTGTTA